AGAGGAGGGTGGTAAAACAGAGAAGGGTGCTAAGCGTAAGTATTACAAACAAAAACCAATATATGTAATTTGCAATTTTGATTTAAGCATTCTCCCGACCCAGTTAAGTCTACCTATGGTATACCCTCCTAAGGAGTGGGGTGTTGTAGAACGACTTAAAGTGAGGGGGGAGGCGTCTAAATCACTATCTGATATTACTGAGGGTTATTTAAGCGAACCTAACGGGGATTTATATTTATATAATCGGTATAATCTATTAACATCCCGTGATAAGAATAACTTTAATATTTTATTGGGTGAAAACTACCAGGAAATGTGTGACACCATGAATACCTTACAGAAAGAGGCTTTTGAGATAAATGTAGGTGTGTTAGATTTCATTAGAACAAATATGATATATTAGTGGATATAGATCTACTGATGTCGAAGTTTCTAGCCAACTTAAATGTAGCCGAGGGATGCAAGCTATTGAGAGAGTGTTATCTAGATGCAGCAAAGGGGCTTGGTAAGCTCAAACCTAACCTCTATCCTGCACTTCTAAAAGAGTTCTTGAGTGATATCCAGCGAGCCTGTTATGAAAGGTTTATACTCGATATAGCGTCAACTTACGAGGGGTATGAATTTTATCTGCCAGCATTCGTCAACTTCCGCGGTAGGATTTATCGCGCGGGGGCATTACATTTCCACGAGCGAGATTTAGCAAGGTCTTTGATAGTGTTCTCTAAGCGTATAGTTTATGATGCTAAGATGGCAAATCCTTCTCATAGTACAGAATACGATGAGAAGGTTAAGACAATGTTATATGCGTCAGCCTCATTTCATTATCAAAAGTTTGATACTTACTCCGCGGCAGAGAGATGGTATCATGAGCAGAGGTTTGAGTCAATTGGTAGAATCATTGAGTATGCACCTACCGCTAGAGATCCCTTTCAGTTCCTAAGCAAGGCTCTAATTATCCAAAGGTTGGATAGTAGGGTATCAGAGTGGCAACTTCATATCACACAAGACGCATCTGCAAGCGCTTATCAGATAATTAGTTACTTTTTGTTAGATTTTGAAATAGCTAATTGTACGAATCTTATTCCAACTAAAGGTGATAAGGAGCCGCCTCAAAAGAAAATAGGTATTAATGACGTTTACGACTTCTTTGTATCGGAGATTAAAAAGTCCTTGATTGAGGAATGTAAAACTTTCGAGGATCCTCGCCTGATTAGGACTCACGTATGTGAGGAGCTTGATAGAAAAATTGTTAAATCTCTCCTAATGTCGTTGATCTATGGAAAGACAGCATACTCCATGGCGGACGATCTCTATCAACATTACTCCTCCATTTACTTAAAGAAAACAGAATGCTTGAAGCTTTCTAGTCATATCGAGAAGTTCTTTAAGTCGAGGTTTCCTCATATTGTAAACCTAATGACTTTAATCCGCTCTGTAGGATGGTTAGCATCAGCTATGGGTAGACCGGTCTACTATTCAACACCAGTTTTTACTACAGTTCAGGACTATATGAAATCGGAAGCTATCAAAATATGGATATATGATCGTCCCAGCAAGAAAAGACGGCAGGTAACACTTAGAATTCCCACTAACCTTCGTGATCTAAAAAAGACTACTTCCGCCATTTTTGCGAACTTCATCCATCAGAAGGATGCTAATATAGCTTTTTATATGATCAGAAATGCTAAATTAAGGGGTATACCAATATATACTGTACACGATAATTTCATAACAACTCCAGATTTCGCTCCACTTATGGGTGGATTTTACATAGATGTACTCGAAAAAGGACCCCATCCAATGGAGTTTATTAACACATTTATTATGCAGAATCTCGCTGGGGATAAATATTATGACCATGCGCGAGTAGAGTTATGCAAATGGGAATTAATTCATGTTGATGAGATGTACATACTACTAGGAGAGATTGATCTGCCGGAATTATACAAAAAAAGGAGAAAATTTTGGGATAGTAGGTTACAAGTTCTCGTAGACTCTTACTATAGTTATATTCAATCTATACGATACTTAGATTATAGAGACAAAGATAAATGTATAAGGGATTGCGAGGATTCAGGCTATTTTATTAGATTAGAAAGGTTCAAGAAACAATTAGGTAAATGGAAAGATTACATCCATACTTATTGTATACACCTATGAAAGTATTTTTATGTAAAACAACGACAAGATCTAAGATTTGAGGGAAAACATCTTATACAACATATGTAGATAATTACCATTTATATGATTATATCGAGAGAACTTATTGTTTAGCTCCTCATCCAGGGCTGAGAATAGCTCACGCGGTTCAGATAGAGGATTCATTAATTTGTCTTAACTGTGAGGAAATAGTATCAATAATTATGTACCTACTAATCAAGTACGCGTACCCTATAGAATCGGAATATGGGAAATTCACTATTCATTATACCATTAAAACTTCCAGGGGTCAATAGCACCTTTTGCTATAGG